GGTTAAGTGACCCTGGGTTCAATCCCAAGTAACAAAAATAAAAATAAATAAAATTTTCACTTCTAATATTCCCTCTGGCCTAATCATGTATAGTGGCTTTTCCCATATAATTAATGAAGATGGTATTTCAGATTCATCATCATTTCAAACATTTTCCTAGTAAAAGTGTAATCATTGCAAATCATTGCAGTACAACATATACTAAGTATGCCCTTAATTATCAAATTAGGCCAAAAATAAAGTACTTTGTGCAAGAATACCTGAAAAATCAAGGAAGACAAAAAGTAAGAAACATCCATTAGTTTTTATAACAAAAAGTTACTCATGACCATGGCCAAGAAACATTCAATGAGTGATATAGCAGAAGGCAAAAGAAGTGAAGTAAGCATCAGGAGGTGAATATTATCATTTGTTTACGTGGTGTCCATATGTGATAGATAACAATGCAAGAATTTTCAGAGGTGAAATGATTAGATTATGAAAGCTGTAACATAATCAGTGGATTAGTATACTAATAGGGATTAACTGGGTGGTAACTATAGGCAGGAGGATATGGCTAGAGGAGGTAGGTCACTGGAAATGGGCCTTTGAGGTTTATATTTTGCCTCTAGTGAACAGAGCTCTCTCTCTCTGCTTCCTGTTTGCCCTGACCTGAGCTGCTTTCCTCTACCATATCCTTCTGCCATGAAGTCTGCCTCACCTTGAGCCCAGAGCTATGGAGTCAGTCAGCTATGGACTAAGACCTCTGAAATTATGAGCCCCAAATAAACTTTTCCACTTTTTAAATTGTTCTCATTGGATCTTTTGGTCACAACAGCAAAAAAGCCAACTAAAACAGTTAACAAGGGAGGAAAAGGACTAGTAAATAAAAACACATTTTTGAAAATATTAATTTATAGGGTGAACATCAGAAATATCAAAGGAGTGCTTCTAAATTGTGATGCTGGTCTAAATTCAATACAAAATATTGAATTAAAATGCATTTCTATGATATATAAATTTTACCTCAATAAAGCTGAAAAATGAAATTATTATACATTCTAAAAATAATAATAAAATTTATGTAAATTTGGATTTGAAAGAAATGAAAAAGATGTGGTATTATTTTGTCTCAATAAGTGATCAGAACACTTGATTTCCTTTTGTTTGGCAGTTTGTTTGTTTTATATTTTATTAATTTATCTTTATTAGGAAATTAGAAAAAGAGATGTATAAGACAGAAAGCAGTCAAAACTTATAAAAAGCACATGAGGTAAACTGGAAAAGCTTTTCCCTACTTGATTCATCACAACTGATTCCCAAATGTTCACACACTTAATCAGCCTGGTGTGTATCTTTCTAAAGTCCTACATATATACAAGGGTTGGTTCAGTTTAGATGAAACACAAAACTTAAATAATTTGATAGCCTTGTCAAGAAAAAGCATACAAAATTATACATTTGTAATTAGGTTAAGATACACACACACACACACAAACACACACACATATGTATTTCCAGTATAATATATATGAGGTTCCTTTTTGAATGAGAAGGTAAATCATAACTGATTGATGCAGACTTAATAATTCAAATTCATTTCTTATCAAGTCTCTGAGCATTTTAGACAATTTTCTGGAAATGCTTGTAGAGAACACTTTCTGGGCAAACTAGCTGCCAGAACATACTACAGTTTTGAGTGAGGTCTTGTACAAGGGAAAGGCCCTGAAATTTAAAATTCATTACTCACACAATCTGCGAGATGGTATATGGAATATGGGAAACAAGTGTATAGAGCTTTACAGTAAATGTAATGTAATCATTTTATTTTACTTATTTTTTTCCTGTTATATGCAAATATCTATTTAAGATCCCCAATTTACTGGAGCAGTGGAAACTTGTTCTTGGTTAACTGGGGCTTAAACACCTTTCTTACAGGTTTGGTCAAATTTCAAGGAAGCTTCAAAGTGCTAAGGAGTTAGAACAGATCATCATTGATTAGTTCAAGTGGAACGAGTGAGCCAAGTAGTCATGTGTGGTCATGTGTCAGAAACCAGCAGTGCTTGCGGCATTGCTGACCAACTGACTGAAGAGCAGATTGCAGAATTCAAAGAAGCTTTTCCACTATTTGACATTGATCGTGATGGAACTATAACAACAAAGGAATTGGGAACTATAATGAGGTCTCTTGGGCAGAATCCCACAGAAGCAGAGTTACAGGACATGATTAATGAAGTAGATGCTGATGGTAATGGCACAACTGACTTCCCTGAATTTCTGACAATGATAGCAAGAAAAATGAAAGATACAGACAGTGAAGAAGAAATTAGAGAAGATTCTGTGTGTTTGATATGGATGGCAATGGCTATATTAGTGCAGCAGAGCTTCACCATGTGAGGACAAACCACGGAGAGAAGTTAACAGATGAAGAGGTTGATGAAATAAGGAGGGAAGCAGATATTGATGGTGATGGTCAAGTAAACTATGAAGAGTTTTATATAAATGATAACAGCAAAGTGAAGACATTGTACAGAATGTGTTAAATTTCTTGTTCAAAATTGTTCATTTGCCTTTTGTAACTTATCTGTAAAAGGTTTCCCCCTACTATCAAAAACAATATGCATGAATAGTAATTAGGAATTCATTCCTCCATGTTTTCTTCCCTTGTCATTGTCCTGAACCCTTATTTTAGAAAATTGATCAAGTAACATGTTGTATGCAGTTTACTCTGGATATAGCTAAGCCCTCTGAGCATCCAAACTTTAGATGGAATTGGTCAAATGAGGGAACATCTGGATTATGCCTTTTTTAAAAGTAGTTTTCTGTAGGAACTGTCAGCATGTTGCTGTTGAAGTGTGAAGTTGTAACTCTGCATGGACTAGGGACAGTCAACAATACTTAAAAGTTGCACTATTACAAAACAGGTGTATTATCTAGGAACTCACACTATTTTTTTGTTCTGTTGATCTTGTACCAGAAACATTTTCTTTTATTGTTAGTTGTTTTTTAAACTTTGCTTAGCCATTTAAAGAATATCTGCTGATGGCACAATTTGCCTCAAAAATATTCCAAGTTGTCTATTTGTTTTCCAATTTAAAAATTGTAATTTACTCCCCTCCCCCCCCCCGCCCTATTGCCACAAAAAAGAACAGATCATCCTTACTAAGGCCATTGAAGACACAGTGTATCTAGTTCTAGTACATAGCCATTTTTTTCTTTGGAGTCTTTTTCCCTTCCCAGGGTTTGGCCACTCTCTCTAGAATACTCTAAAATGTATTCTTATCTAGAAGGTTACCTCCAAAAATAGTTCATATAGGTTGTTTATGACCAATAGATGTGCCTGATAGGTCAGCAGATTAGTACCCCAAATCTTATATTTTAAACACTTCTACTCCTCAATGTAGAAAAATGTATTTTGTAGATAAAATCAAGTAAATAAAGAAATGCTGCTGTGTTAGTCAGCTTTTCATTGTGTGTCCAAAATACCTGACAAGAACAACTTAGAAAAGTTTATTTTAGCATCATAATTTCAGAGGTCTCGGTCCATAATCGGCTGACTCCATTGCTCTGGGCCTGAGGTGAGGGAGAACATCTTGGTAGAATGCAACTGGGGAGGCAAGCTGCTAGATCTTGGCTCCTGGAAGCAGAGAAAGAGAGGGAGGCAGGAAGAGAGAGCATGTGCATGAGGAAGCACGGACAAAATACAAACCCCAGTTAACTACTTCTTTCAGCTATATCCTAGCTACCTACAGATGTCACCTAGTACAATAGTCCTTTCAAATTATTAGGTTATAGCTCTCATAATCAAATCATTTCACCTCTGAACATTCCTGCATTCTCTGTACGTGAGCCTAATGGGGGATAGTGCATATACAAAACTTAACAGCTGTTTATTCTTGTGGTTTTTTTTCCTTCTGTTTTTTCAGTCCTTGACATTTATCGTCCTAAGAACTTTAGATATTAAGTTTCTAAATCCAGAAGAGATTTAATATTTCTTTCCTGCATATCCCTCTCCTGAAGCAACAAAATAAGACACTTGAAAGGGTGACTGCGGGGAAAGAGGAGTGAGAAAGAAAAGAGATAATTATCAGGGAAATAATCAGTTAAAATATAATATATAACTTGGCCATATATTTTTCAACACACAAAAATGTCATCAATTATAATAATATTACATTGATTTGATAACATTTTCATAAAATTGTTAAATATATGACAGAATTTGTATCACTTGATTACATGCATTAATCTGTGTACTAACTTGCTAATTTTCTGTGTCAGAAGCAAAATAGAGTATTAACTGGCCTCACATGGAGAATATGAAGATTATATTGATTCGGTTTTGGCTCCCAGTATATATTAATTGAGAAGCCTATTACTTTAATAAACTATGCTTTAGGTGATGGGAATGCAGTAGTTAAGAAAACAAAGTCACTGTCCTAATGAAGCTCGGGTTTTATTGGGTAGTATGGCATTATACACATAATGACAGGTACAGACAAATAAAGAAACAAAGCAAGCAAAGGCTTACAGAATAATGAGGGTAGTCAGGAAAGATCCAGAGCTCCAAAAATATTAGATGGGTGATTGATGTGAATATCTATTGGAAGTTTCCTGATAGAACAACAAGTAGTAAAGGTATTGTGAATAAGGTAGCAGTACCAGGAAAAGGAAGGGCAGAAAAGAATGACAGGAGTTGAGCTTGGAAAGAGGACCAGGAGCTAGATCGTGTGGCTATGTGAAGAGTTATAGGCCTGGTTAAGAGCTTTGGGTGTTTTTCTTAGAAAGAGTAATTAATGAACTTATGAGAACTTTTCTGTTTTTGTTGCTTAGCTTTGTTTCTTTTATTCAGAGTGTCATGTTTTTCATAAAAAGTGCTCAAAGTAACTACTTTTAGGACTGACATGTTAATTTCAAGACCTACATACTAAAGTAACAACAGAGTCAAATTTGCATTCTAAATTTAAGAAAAATGGGATGAAATATAAATAACATGTAGAATTTTATTCTTTTTTTTTCCCCAGGGAGAGCATGAACAGAGTCCCCACTATCACAAACTATGCAGTCAAGCTTCTCACATTTTGGGAAATAGCAGGGGTCAGCGCGTGCAGAGTGCAATGGAGAAGCCTTGCCCTGGGAAAACCACCTTCATGATCATGGAATCTCCCCTGCTAGGTAAGTATTAGAATTTTATTCTTAAAATGAGCAGTTTAGAACACATGGATTTGATCACAAACATTAGAACAATAGAATCATAAAACATTCTGTGTTTAAGTGTTAAGCAAACAGGCAAGTTTTCCTACGTTTCATCGCACTGCCAAAGTAAGATATATCCTGTAAAATGTAATTAAAATTATTTTAAAATATATTTAAAAAGTAACTTTGGAATCATTGAAGTCAATGTTGGTGTAACAGAGAAAAATGTTTAAGAAGATCTTTCAAATGGAAATCATATATTCAACTATGTAAGGGTTTCTTAGGTTGCCTAGAATGACAATCAGAACACCAGATAACATTTTTACACAATTAAGTTGTGTTCAAAGCCAGCCTCAGCAACTTAGTGAGGCTTGCTGACTTAGAGAGACCCTGTCTAAAAATTAAAAAAAAAAAAACCATTTTAAATGCTGGGATTCAATCACTGGTACAAAAAAAAAAGTGATAAAAATGTCACAAATTCTTCGGAACTGATCAATTAAAAATCAACTCAAGAAGTATACCAGTAAACTTCTTAGACTGTGTCCTAAGGAAATAATCAGAGATAGGGGATATTTAAAAATAATCATCTTTTCTCACTAAAAGAAAAATAGATACAATCTAAATATCCAACAGTAAGGCAAAAACATTGTACTTTTTGTACCATTTAATAGTACCATGACAGTAGATGTTCACTAATATTCAATAGGATAACTAAATAATGAAAGAATAAGATATTTTCTGTGACTCTTGTTTTCCATTCAGGTACATTAAGCTATCATGCTTGATTCTTCAAGAAGATCATATTTTGATTTGACAAGTACAACATTTGCCTTTTCTAATATTATAATTATTAATCTTAATTTGAGAAATATATTAATTTACTTGGGGCTTGGGGGGATATTTCTTTGGTTATCGTCGCCTATGTACAAGTATTTCATTATATTTTAAAACTTCAAAAGCTAGGTTAAAAAGTCAGAAAAGTTGTTGCATCTGCTAATGCAAAATATACAATAGCCCTGTCTTCCACTCTATATTTATTTTTATATATATAAGCAAATATATATATATATCAAGGTCACATATGTGAGTATATTTTCTTCCGATTAAAAAACAATTTTTCTTTCAATAGCTCATTTGTGAAGGGAGGAGATTTTATTTATTATCAGTTTTATTAGATGTTATTTACTTTTTCATTTTTTTCAGGTGTGCTATTAGCTTTATGCTGAAGATATGTCAGACTAGTTTATGAAATTATTGTTTTACTTGTGTTAACTACTATTTCTTGCTCTGTATTTTTCCTTAATAGGGATCACCAAGTATTTATATATGAAATCATTACTCCATGTAACTATTGATAAATTTATAATTTAATGTTAATTTATAACTATAAATTTATAATTTTATTTATTTCAGAAATGAATATACTCCTTTTTATTCTAATTTGTTATTTATGACAGCAGAATGCATTATAATTCATATTACATATACAGGGCACAATTTTTCATATCCCTGGTTATACAAAAAGTATATTCATAATATTCGTGTCTTCATTCATATACTTAGGGTAATGATATCCATGTCATTCCACTGTGTTCCTACACCCATGCCACCTCCTTTCCCCTCTCTCCCTTTTGCTCTATCTAGAGTTTGTCCATGGTCCTGCTCTCAACCCCACTATGAATCAACATTCTTGTATCAGAGAAAACATTCTGCATTTGTTTTTTTGGGATTGGCTAACTTCACTTGGCATTATATTTTCCAAGTTCATCCATTTACCTGCAAATGCCCTAATTTTATTCTCTTTTAATGCTGAATAGTATTCCATTGTGTATATATACCATATTTTTGTCATCCATTCATCAACTGAAGGGCATATTTACTTCAGAAATGAATATACTCTTTTGAGGGTTTGTTATTGATAGTAAAATGTAAGACTTTAAAAACAAGTGACAAATTATAATTTTTCTTTCTCTGAAATTAATATTAACTTGAAAATTCAAATCTGTATAAACTATAAATGTTACTGCTAAAGTTGCATATATCAAAGTAGCAGGATATAAAATTAATACCCATAAATGAATTGCATTCTTATACACCCGTGATGAATCATCTGAAAGAGAAATTAGGGAAACTATCCCATTCACAACAGCCTCAAAAAAATAACACTTGGGAATCAATCTAACAAAAGAAGTGAAAGATCTCTACAATGAAAACTATAGAACACTAAAGAAATAAATTAAAGAAGACTTTAGAAGATGGAAAGACCTTCTATGCTCTTAGATAGTCAGAATTAATATAGTAAAAAATGGCCACACTACCAAAAGCATTATACAGATTTAATGCAATCCCTATTAAATTCCCAATGATATTCTTCATAGAAATAGAAAAAGCAATCATGAAATTCATTTGGAAAAATAAGAGACCCAGAATAGCCAAAGCAATCCTTAGCAAGAAGAGTAAAGCAGGAAGCATCATAATTCCAGATCTTAAACTATACTACTGAGCCATCCGGCATGCTATTGGCACCAAAATAGACATTTAGACTAATAATACAATGTAGAAGACACAGAGACAAACCTACATGAATACAGTTATCTCATACTAGATAAAGGCACCTAAAACATACATTGGAAAAAATATAACTTCTTTCACAAATGGTGCTGGGAAATCTGGAAATCCATATGTAGTAGAATGAAATTTAACCCCTATTTCTTACCCTGCACAAAAATCAACTCAAAGTAGAACAAGGACCTAGACATTAGACAAAAAACTTGGCACCTACTAGAAGAAAATGTCTGCCCAACTCTGTAATGGTAGATTGCATAATCTAAAACCACCATAATCTAAAACATTAGTGAAAAAATGTGGACAAGGGAAAAACCTATATACATACATAATCAGAAAAGTAACAAGACCATGAGGAAGTAGAGAGGAAATACTTTGAAGAAGACAGAAATCTAGAAGTAAAATCAATACTTGGTGTTCTTGAAGCCTTCTGGGAGGCCAAATATGTTTGTGATAGGTTTGAAGTCCAGGTGAATTCTAGGTCTTGCCAAAATGGAGTACAGTCTTATAATTTAAACCGCAACTAGGTTAGTTTCTGTGTAAAACACAAATTGAATACAGCACCAAATTTACAGGTTTCCTATAACTTTCATCTGGGTTAACCCCAGTCTTCCTGTTTTGCACCTCTGAAACAAAAGAGCAGGCTGGAGGCATTCCCACAGGAGAGCCTCAAGGTCTTTTACACTTGAAATATGTTTTGATGGTGCTCATTAACACATCTACTGATTAGCCTCCTAATGTGGCTCTTGTGTTTAAATAAGACTGACCATTGATATTCAACTCAAATATTAAGCCTTGAGCTGTCATTTTCAGTCTATATCAACTTAATGACTTTGTTTCCTAGAAAGTTCTTTCCAATGACTTTCCTATCTATCCTTTATTGATTATGACTGTTACATTCTGCAAACCAATACCAGATATGTATCCATACTCGAGTTTGTAGCCTTTTTACTGTATTATCCTGAGACACATTACCCACATACTAATTGTGTTTATCATTTGTGAGCAAGAAGTCCATTACCAATCTGAAATTATTTGATGTGTAGTTCTAAATCTCTGAAACAAAATATTAATATATTTGTCTTGAAATTGGTATGGGGAAAAACACATAGATCATGACTTTAAACTAGGCATTCATGTATCAAATGAACCATGGAAACCATAGAGAATAAGCATTCTAGAAATAGATGGCATGTCTGCAACATTTTTCTCCTAGAACTATCTCTGCTGTGGTTTCTTTCTCAGTTATTAATGTCACCATGACACTCAATTGACATTTGGAAGTTATAAATGATCCACATGTCAACGAACAATTTTTGTCAAGATATCGACCAAAACATACAAATGTGAATGACTGGATTCTAACCTGGCTTTGTTTTCCATTTTAGGTTCCACCTTCTTTTAAATGTTCTTAGGTCAAGTACTCAGATTTGCTGAATGAGACCTAAATCTTTCTGTTTTGCTTTTTAGTTGACTCTAGCTCTAAGTATGTAAACAACTCAAAATATAAAAATTAAAGTGAAAGATAGATATTAAAATTTCATAACCTAATAAACATTCAAGTACAAAACCTATATAATGGTTAAGAGTTAGTCCTTGAGTATTCCAGAAGTTCTAAACAAACTTAAGGGCTTGAGGATCTGCTAGTGGCATTTACAACTCACTCTTTCTAAGAGGATTCTATTCAGCAAACATTTATTATATGCTTACTATTTGCAAGCCACAACAATAGACATGACAAAGACTATAAAAGGCGAATAGGTTCAATTCTCACACCTTGGGAATGCAAAGTGGGTATGTTGATTTGGCTCTTACATGAAGTACCTCTTCTAATTAAATTTTTTCTTCTAAATCAATTTTGTAGTACCTTCAACATATTCATAGTTTTAAAACCTTTAGTTAGAAATGAGAACCAGCTGCCCTATCACATTCATATTAGCCAATTAATGTATTATTTAAACAATACCTTTAATTAGTAAATGAATATTCTGTATGTCCACATTACATCAAATATTTTGTCATTTCCAAAATTTTAATTCTTAATCAGTGAGTTGTTAACTTGTTTCCAAACTACAAGCTGTTAAGATATGTAAGTACTTAGAGGATAAAAGGACAGATTAACTATTAATGTAATATGCCTGCAATAGTTGACACCCTACTTAGCATGACCATTATGTACTACAGCCTACAAAATTATTCTTCATGCTCCCACAGCAGAGCTAGAGTGCCATATGGCCATGCTTGTTTTTCATCAAATAATTTTTACATAAACAGCTGGTGAACTGTTTTTATTGTAACAGTGCACATATTTTTTGAGACAGTTGGGAAGGATTGATGCAACTCTAGTCACTGTCTGTTTTTATGTCAATGTTAAGGAGAAATTTGAATTCATATTTTTAAAATGTGGATTTTTGTCTTCTTG